ACTCCCAGTTTATACCGGCTCGTCAGTTCCCGGTGAAAAAAGAATTGGCTGGCGCCCGCCTGGCTTGCGGATGCACGAACGACGGGTGAACGGCCGAAGGTAACGTAGGTTGGTTCTCGAAGATAGTTCGTTCTCGTATGTTTTGCTATCGGTGTCGAGTTAAGAAAAAGAATTGCGTTACAGTATATATCAGTATATTTACTGCAAAGGTACTGTCTGAAGGTGGTCGTACCATAAAAGTCAAATAGATAGGCTAACTTCAGTTGGTCTGTTTGGACTTAAGAACCCTATGTATATGGCGTCATGGAGTCGTTAAAAAAATGGATAGAAATTTGTACCTATACAATGAAGATAAATTCTCTGATCAATTCTGATAAATTATTATGATACGTAAGCAGCTCGTACTTGAGTTATTGGTTGAGTAGGTTTTTAGTAATTTCCAGAGAAAGAAAAAAAACGAGAGATAAGGAAACTATTGCATTATGTACGAAAAGTTTGTGGGAAGATCGTGGAAACTCGGCTTTTTTAAAAATGGTCTCATCCAGAAGGGACTGAATGTTTTATACAAAGTAGATAAAGTAAAGGCGAAAGGCACTGCCTGTTACGAGGGATATGTCTTTGTCATGGCCATTTGCGAACAAATTGCAGAGCATAAAACTCACGTTTCCTTCTATACCGCTTAGTGTTTCCTCTCTTTATCTTTATTCTTCCAGTCGAAGTAACGAAGCGTGTCGCATGGGAATTCGAATACTACAACAGTGTACACGGACGTACGAATACTGTACTAAAGAAACTATCTCGATACTCCATTAATAAATCAGAGATATTTTCCTGGCTAGCGAATCCTGAATAATCCATTGGAATCCCCAGTGGATCTAGACTACTTTACATGAGGATCCAATATTCTCGTGACTCCATTAGTCACTTTACCACAGCGGCATATTCCTGGCGTTATGAAAATAATAAATTGAATTGAAAAAATTGACAGTTATAGGCGGTATGGTTATAATAGGTAAAAACTGTCTGATTAGGATATAATCCTGCATTCGTATCTACTTACGAGGGACAATAATTGCAAACATAACTGAAGTAAGGTCGCCCACGTGGTCCTCTGGTACCAGGACATTTAGCCCAACCGCATCCGACACGATGGGTAGGTGCCCATACCATCTGAGTATAATGTCCGACCTTACTCAGGTCATTCTTAGCCTTTGGTCCATATTTGAAGATCTGATGCTCGAGAAACCAGGTCTTTATTGCGAAGAACCTGGAAAGAGAAGTATCAAGGATTTATTGATGTTCTTCAGAAAGTATATACCTATAAGATATCGTGTTAGCCGGGCATTGAAAAGATGATATGGTATTAGGCATCTGGTATATCTATTGTCCGGGAAAATCGGGGATTTAGACAGCTGAACGAATGAGTGTCCTCCACTGTCAACAGGTGGCTCCCTCGGGATAGGTAGTGGCCGAGAGCATTCAGGAACGTACAAAGTCAGGGATCCGGTTAAATGGTTTTCCAGTGTCGAAGGTCTATCTCTTAGCGAGGATTCGAGGATTTACAGTGAAGCCATTCGAATAGAATAATACAAGTAACAAGAGTGGAGCGCGTTGGTAAAACTCTGTAAGTGCAACAAGGTACGGATAAGTATTCATAGATGGCACCACAGTCGCGACGTAGTACCGAGCGAGCACGAGAAAAATGAAAGATTCTAATAACGCTTCCTAGGGTGAAGTTTACTACGAAGTCACGGGGGATTTGCCTGGAGGCCAGTAGTAACCAGGAGTCAGGATATGGAGATGGAACTTCTTCAGAACGCGAAGGTACGAAGTGAGGTTATCGGTAAGGTGATTGCTCCGAGTTATGTCTCTCGTAAATCATGCCTTTAACGTCCTTGCTGACTCTGTGAGAAATACGGAATCCCGGCTCTTTATCTTATGCGGCAGCGAGTCATCTGAAGATACGTAATCTCAACCTGATGCACTCGTAAGGAACGTAATTCACTAGGATACATTCTGTTCCCTTGGGAATGACGCGGCGAGTGGGTTCCGTATCGCGAAGAGAAGCAAGTGACGATTAGATCGAGGGACAGTACTACCCGGAGTAATGGGTTTCGAGTGAGAATCAAAGGAGATGGCCGACGAGGAAAATGTAAGTACCTTCACTGACATCGGACAAAAGTCCCTTTCTCTTGCCTTGTGAGATTTTAAATTTATTCTTTAGTAATTAGTACATTTCATTCGAGGACTTACCAGGGTACTTGGGCTGTGGATATAAAGATATTTTGTCCGCAGCTCCCAAAGGCATCGATATGGAGTCCTGTTGCATTATCATGGGTCAGAGCGTAACAGGCCTCGGCCCACCTTTGTGCTGCCTTGGCGGCCCCATTGTGCCATTTCTAAATGTAATACAAGTACCTTGATAAGAGCCTAATTCAAACAGACTGGGGGCAATCTCATTATTTTTTTATCCAATCAATGATCTCTAATCTTATATATATGTCTGTGTATCTATATCGTTATTGTCAGTATCAATTTTACTTTGTCATTCTCACGTTCTCACCATGGCCAGCATGTTGGCCGCCGGAGGATTCACGTGAGTCCTAAAGAAGTTGTGATAAAGGACGATCTTCCGCTGGACCTTTTTGTTGCCCGGCGCTAGGACTCTAGTGGGAATCCTGTCGCCATACAATCTTGGCACTAGAAAGGATACGAAGGTTAGAGAATACACTTCCTCATCCTTAAGTGTCTTTATCGAGCGACTATTCCTTTTTTTTTCTTTTTTTTTTCTTTCTAGCCCTTCTCTCTAGTCGGAGGGTTAGTAGCGCCCTGGGCGACGATATCGCGTAAGGACGAAGCGAGTATGGAAAATTTCATATAGATTTATACAGTCATATTTTTTTTTATATCCACACATCAGGTTGGTACCGTTTATTTTTCATTCACTGTATATACATATGACAGGGTTAGTCAGTAGAAACGCACCAGCAGAAGTTGGCCGCAAGTGGCCGACACGGCAGTGTGGTCTCTTCAAAAAATGACATGTCACTGTGACCCATTCCCGTAAGCACAAACTGACTGTTCGCATAGCAATAAGATTTTTGTAATATTTCAATAGTTAGGTTTATGAAATAATTAATTAATATTGTAATGACAAAATATAATATCAGCTGATATTTATTTTGACAACAGATTTTTTGCTACACTTTTTTGCTATAAAAAACATTTCAATTAATTGACTTTTAAATCAATTGCAGCATTGCATTGCAGAATTGCAGTTGTGATCATAACTTGGAAATATCAAAATTGCGAAAACTTTAAACTTTACATTATTTTAATTGCAATCTGTTGTGAAAATAAATCCTTAAATGACATTACATTATGTCATTACAATATTAATTAATTATTTCAGTAACCTAACTATTGAAATATTTCAATAACCTTATTGCTATGCGAACTGTCAGTTTGTGCTTATGGGAATGGGTCATAGTCACGTGTCACTTTTTTAAGTGGCCACACTGCCGTGTCGGACACTTGCGGCCAACTTCTGCTGGTGCGTTTCTACTTACTAACCCTGTATGCGTATACCAAGGATTTTTTGTCTCTCCACTCGTTTCGTTACCTACGTTCACGTTACTCTTAAATTTAGTAATGGTTAGAGAGGATTTGATACGCTACTGGGCTTACTACGATCCGTTTTCCATGGGGCTGCAGCTGGCAATGCCACAGCGATCGCGATGCACATCCACAGCCACCTCATTCTCATTCAATTATTTCTGCAACAATTAAATTTCCCAAACCGATTACACTGATTCAATTTCAAAGTATCTTTCAGCCTGGGTGCAGTATCGAAAATTCCAAAGTTCTAAAACGCTTTCACAGACATCCGAAAGTCGACTGGCACGTGTTATTACGAAATTTAATAATTCTCTGTGAACTCGCCACAAAACGCTCAAGTCGCTTTCATTGGGCGATCAAACGCTGAAATTCGATTAACCTCAAAACGCACGTTTTTCCATAATTACAGCGTTATTTCTTACGCGCAAAGGAATACAATCGATTCGCTTCGAGCTTTAACGTCAGTTTCCATGTAACTGCATCAAACGACAGCCACGTTTCTTTGGATACGTTCACGCTGTCAATATCCGACAGTTCGACTGTCGACTTGTACCCAAAATTTGGACAAGTTATCTATCTACACTTTTACACTCGTGGTTACCAGAGGCCCTTCGAACGTCCAAGCGAAGCTTCTACGCACGATGAAAACGCGTCCTAACGAACGCTGCCTTCTTGTTCTACGCCGATTCAAGGCTACTGGCTGCCTCCCATAGACTCGGCAGCTATACTACGTAATTCTAACGTCGAACAAGAGTTGCGTCTTTTCCGCAGAGGGTTTTACAAAGTCTGTCGAAAGTTCCTCAAGGAACTTTTACACGGCGGGAAAACTTGGCGGTAAATTGAGTTTCGTCCTGGTGTTAAGGATGATAAATTTCGTTTTCTCATGGTTAGTCGATTATCAAAGCGTATCTAATGGATACCTGTATGGATACATATTTCATGTCTCTATACTATAAATATAGGTTATACATTACATATGGATGTATAGGCATTACAAAACGATTTATTCTACAGGGGACTTTCAAAGAAACCTATATATATATATATATATATATATATATATATATATATATATATATATATATATATATATATATATATATATATATATATATATATATATATATATATATATATATATATATATATATATATATATATATATATATATATATATATATATATATATATATACACAAATACATATATTATATTCAAGAGAGCCATTTTCTTGCCGACTGTCAGACTCCGAATTGTATATCAAAGCTTTTTCCAATATACGTCTCCGGGCCAGCAGTATATTCCACCCTTGGACCCTTCACTTATCACGAAGGGTTTAAGGATGGAAGAGAGAAATAGAGAAGACCACCACTCATCCACATTGAAATACCACACGCAGCAGGATGACCAACACATAAGACATAAGGGGGGGACTCCCCTACTAAGAACCGCAATGTCGTCGCAGATGCGTCTCGAAATGCGCGATTTCGGTTCCTGGCCCTTGCGTTATCGTTTTCTGAACCCCCCCTTTTTTTTTACCCTTAGCCATTTACCATTTTCCTTGGGAAAATACATAACCGAGCTGTTCTGCTCGAATGAGCTAGCGAGATAGGCCAAAGGGTATGCGAGGACGACTAGGGGTTGTTCCAAGTGGCTCCTACCCACGGAGCCACCCCTCTGGAGAAATTACGTGTTCGATATGGAATCTATAGGTCTTGACGATCGGACCCAACCCCTCCGCCGTTCCTAATATCGCATTTTTTTTATCCACTTGCTCTCAAGCCAAAAATAATCCTCAGGTCGGTTTACCGTTTATTGGTCCCAGGCAAGAAGAAAAAATATGGGTGGAACAGGGTCTGTGAAGTGCAGGGAGTATGAATGGGCCCGAGTGGAAGCGTGACAATGAGACGCGAGGGTATTAAAAAAAAAAAAAAAAAAAAAAAAAATAAAAATAAAAAAAATAAAAAAAAAACACCCTCCCACACTCACAAACGTGATCCACCCGTGATCAAGGGATGTCAGATACAATCCTCTTGTATCTTTATTTATCTTATCGTATATACAATCGGATAAGTCGCAGTTTGTTTGTAAAATAATTTCGTCGAGTTTCCCGCGAAAATGGAACCTGGGATAAATAAACCTTGGTGGATATTCCACTTCGAATGTGAATTAATTCGAAATTTTTAGAGAGCTTCGAAAAAGTCAAAGTCAGCGAGCCATTACCCAGAAATCCATGCGAATCGTAATTTTCGTTTACGGTTCTAGTTGGCTCTCTGGGGATTAGGATTACCAAGAGGTTCGAAGGTCAGAACGGTCGAAGAGGGTAAATTCGAACGTGGATTCGGTCGGTAAAGTATTACGATATAATCCGTAAATTTCATTGGGATTTTGCCGCCCGCCATTTCCGCTGTCCGCAATAACAAGGGATACCGGAAATCTGATATCTGTCGATCCGTTATCATAACAGTTCCGGTATTACCTGACAGTCGAAATATTCACTAGTAGCCGCTGAACAACTTTCGAAACCCCCTGGAGACCATATCGCGAGAAACCCCCGATATCATTCCCCGTCCCTTACACTCCTATTCACTCTGGAAACCGACCCCTTTAACTGCATCAACCCCTAACCTCTATATATCGTAGATCTGAGCTACACATACGATATGATGGGATATTACTTTTTTTCAGTATACCTAGATTTTTTTGGGGTTACAACCTTTATTGGTATCTGAAAAAGATGGGGTTATTTTCGTGCTCCTACGTTTCTAGGGGGGCAGGGAGGGGGTTGATCTATCGAACTTCATGTTATAGGCATATGCTTTATGCGGGGCCATATTGCCGAAAAATGGTGCTAAGCGAAAAGGGATTTTCCATATCGAAAGAGGCGGAGTTGGTCAATATAATTCGATTGGGTTCGGTCGTTTATATATTTATCATAAACTTTATTCAATTCAATCTAATATATATATATATATACAGATATAAACTGTAAGTGCTAGATACAAGTATGCATTACAAGCTTGAGCTCCTCCTTTCAGACTTGATAACTGACTCGTGCATTCTCCCTGGGAAGATGGGCAAACTTGCTATTCTGTTTGATAAGAGAGTCTAAAAGCAGAGTAGAAATAAAATAAAATATATCTAAAAGTACTGAAAACTTTGATCCTACGCAGTAAAGAAAAACAATTTTTTCTTTGCAGTGTCTAAAGCCATTCGATTTGCATAGTGTACATATATATATATGTTAATTCAGCCATTGACTATTCAGTCTTATCGGGACTAGAGAAGGCAAACCATATGGATAAAATCGTCCCGTCGTTTCTCTATAAATATACTGGTACTTTCAAAGACGACAATCCTACACGTTTCTATGTACATTGAAAACAGTATTGGGTTACCTAATAATAACGTTTACCTTGTTAAGTACGTGCACATAGCCGGTTATATGGGTTATGTACGTTTCATATAAGATATTACGCACACCAGGTATTTTGGATAATATACAATTCGTGAAGAAAGTTATTTCGAATCGACCGTAGATTCTAACCAATGATGACAAAAAAAAAAAAGAAAGAAAACTTAATGACTTATACGATTTTGATAAATCGAGGTAATATAGATTCAGTAGGTGAATTGGCAGGACGAATGTGGATATGTCGTTCGTTTGCCAGGACCTATTCAGGACTCAAATTGAAAGCATCGATCAAAGCCAGGAGGCAGGACGACCGGTACAGTGTCTTGTCCAGGACGCTACCGGAATTAAACGTCACCCTGGAATCGTTTCTAATTCCGTGACGTATTCAACGGTAATGCCAACTACTTTTTATATTGACTCCATTTTTCCTATTTTTCTCGATGTTCTTCCTTTACCCTTTTCCAGGACCTCCGGTACGTCAGACCTTCTTTCGAGATTCCAGCACGCGGAAAGACCATCGGTCAATTACTTGGGACTGTTTTAGGTTATGTCGACTATGGAATTCGATTGGTATGTACCGGGAACACTGAAATAAGCTTTCATATATGGTATCTGAGAGCGGAAGTGACGTAGTGACTTGATAATTACGTGATTGATAAAAAAGAAATGTATAGACAAGCTTGTCTATGGTTAAAATGTATTCGTTGAACCTGACCTCAAGTTCAAAGACAACTGTCTTACGGATGCGAGGTCACGCTTTAATTATTAATCAACCAGAGTCACACATTGGATTCTCTAAGCCAGTGGTCCTTCGTCACTGTGTTATTCGGTGCGCCTCTTCATCCCCGTTCATCCCCGTTCATCCCTTGGCGACCTTTCGTCAGGGCGAACATCGTGCTCCGCTGATTCGGACCGTTAAATTAACTATACGCGACACAACAAGGGTCCTTTGTATTCTCTATCGTTTTTACTTCCCCCTGTCTTAGCTGTTGCCGATGCTGACGCCTCGTCCTGGACCAGGGTTACCCATGTGACGTGCTCTTTGATTTCTTCTCTTATCCCTTTTTTTTTACCCCCCCCCCACCCCCTTTACCTCAGCCTTTTTGCTCCTCGAACGTTTTGACTTTTCGAAAAAGAAAAAGCAACCCCGGATAAAGTTTTGTCGATGCCCTCAGCATCAGGGCGATTTCCCCTCCCGGCTTCGATAAAATATCCGATAAATACGTCCTGGTTGGCCGAGTGCTCGTTAATTTCCCGCAGGCGGATTCTACCACCCTGTGGAAAAGCTGTGTCGGAGTTGGGCTAACGATACGAGATGGTAAGGGATGATGGTGGTTGGGGGAGGGATGAGACGAGGAATGATAAAGGAAGGTAACTTATGGGCATTTCTCTTAGTGTTTCTGTTCTCGATTGCAAGAGAGAAAATGGGTGCTGGGAGTTAGTGTGAGAAAGGAGAGATTTCATATATATATATATATATATATATATATATATATATATATATATAGAATGAGTATGGGCTGTATCCGTACCATCCTCGAGGCGGTCGAACAAATTCCACCCCCCGTATGAATATGCACGAGCTGCTCCATAGGCAGCTATGCGTAAATTTACAAGCAACAAAGTCAATGAACGTAGATAGACCTCTTAGGGGTGAAAGAGGGTGAATACTAGGATCCGAGTAGGCTATCCCTTATACTTTATAAACACGTAATAATAGCCCTCGAGTAAAAGCCACCCTTC